TGATTGCTGAAAACAAGAAAAACCTATGGCTCTTTGCCTTAACTAAACATTAATGATTCATAGTTACCAAGTCAGAACATCCACAGCTCAGGATAGTCCAAGTACCAAGGGATTTTGAAGAGAAATCCCATCCTTGCACCCATGTGCTCCAGTTCACAAAGCAGCTCTTTGTCTTCCAAGAGACAGCATTTGCAGGTGCAATAAACAGACAATGACAAAAAGGGAGAACTAAGAGCAGAGCCAGAGCAAGAAGCTCATTCCCATAGGAATCAAAACAATTATACCCCAATTCCATTCATGATCAGCTGTGGCCATCAGCCAATCACGAGCAGACAGGGGATGTGCCCAATTGTTGGTTGTCATAGCTGCGTGTGGGGATAGGCTAGAAGTTTGGAGATTACACCTGCAGTCACATGACCCAAACTCCAGCTTCTCCATTGCCTACATGACTTGTTACATGTGGGCCAGAGCCAGGAGCCATCAGGTCTGGCTCTTCCACTTAGAGGTGCGAAAGAATGTGTGGTTATATGGCATGGCTATTAAGGTAGTTCAGGGCATTTGGTCTTCCCTGGACCATTTGGCCTGCAACAGGAAACAGAGACACAGCATGTTATCAGAGAGACATCACAGGAGAAGGCATGTGGATATAGAAAGCAGAAATCAATTTTTCTATACACTAGCATATTAAAAATACAGTGTATCCAAACAATTATTACAAACAGAATACCCATCCACATGCAAAAACAAAACTGAAACCTTTTTATTTTCTTGTGACAATAGCACCTTCTAAAGGAAGAAATGCATCTATCTTGTTCTTGCATTGGAGAGTTCAGTTTGTAACCTAGGACTTGCTTGTCCTCAGTGCACAGAAATTAGATCAATCTGATACCATACATATTTTTTAGAAATGATTTGGAAAATATTTGAATGCCTTGTCTTAAAATATTTTATTCATCATGTTAAAATAAAACATTCCATAATCAATTTTTTCTCTTTTCTTTTTTCAATTTTTCCAATTTTTTGGATATTTTTTTTGAAAAAAAAACAAAAAAGGCTTCAGGAAAAAAATGGGAAAACCCCATTCCTCCCCCCCAATTTTTCGGGGTTTTCCCCGGGTCCTCACATCTCTACTCTTAACTTTTTTTGGATGAAACATATATGTGCTTGTTTAGTTAGAATACTCTTAACTCCAGTCTGTTACTCTCTGTGGTACAACTTCTAACAATCATCATTCTTCAGAGCCTTGTGGTTCTTTAATTTGTAAATTCTTATACTCACCATATACTAACAATTTTAAAACAATGAGCTGTTTCTAGCACTAATATGTTTGAGATATTCCTGGAAAAAAACAGAATGTCTAGCTGGCTGACTGTAGAGATTGAAGAATTGTTAACATTAAAATCATCCCATTTCCAAATAACCTTTCTCCTGCCTTTAACCTAAACCTTTAATTTCACTAAAATATTGTGGTTGTTGATTTGCCATGTAAAAAAGCTGCCTAAAGGACTTGATTCTATAAGATATAAGAAAAAGAATTTGATTTCTATGATCAGTAAATGGATTAATTACCTTGTGAGAGTAATTCTCTTAAGATACCTAATTATCCTACCCTCTTTAACCACATGTACTTACAAGGCCAGGAGAAGTGCAAATTGTGGGAAGGAGAATGTTTTTGATAGTTGGCAGGCAACATTTAACATGAAGGTATAATTTGAGGTTGAAACTGGCTTTT